TTGTGGCGGGCGCCTGTGGTCCCAGCTACTTGGGAGGCAGAGGCAGGAGACTCGCTTGAGCCCAGGAGGTTGCTGTGAGTTGTGATGCCACAGCACTCTACCCAGGGGGACAGCTTGAGGCTCTGTCTCAAAAAAAAAAAAATGCTTTATGCAAATACCAGGACTTGTCACTATATCAGCAAGAGCCAGCATCCTCATTAGTTCAGTAATAATAAGGAATAATAAGTTCCAGTAATAATAAGGAATATTTGCATTATGCTTTCAGAAATTCATTTTACTTAAGTGCCATTAACAACCCTATGAGAGGAGCCAGAAATTGTTACATCATTATCTATTTTACATGTTAGGAAACAGAGGCCCATAATACGGAAGTGACCTGCCAAAGTCAACAGGCTAGTCAGTTTGGCAGAGATGGGACTCAAAGCTGCATCTTCGATTACCAGATCTCATCTTTCCACTACGTTCCCCGGCTTCTTAAGTTGGCGACGACGTCAGAGACAGGCTTAGCATTCCACAAGAAAGACAGAATGAGAGGAAGGAAAGGAAGGCAACAGGAAAACAGCAGAATGGGGGACGATGCCAGGAGGAGGTGTTTTATCAGAAGTTGAGTTCATTTGCCCCAAATGCCTTTAAGTGGCAACAGTGCTACAAGTTTCCCTGCCCTTGGGTCTACAGCTGTTTTAATGAGAATTATGTTAGGGAACTAAATGCCCAAAATAAATCTCAAAATTCTTTCCTTTGCAAGATTTTTCTCCTGAGCTTCGGACAGCTGAACTTAGCCCCTCCTACAAAGACTCCTGGCCCTACCTGTGGTCACATTAAATGCCTCTGGAACTGAAGAAACCTGAGGTGTGGGGGAATGAAAAGGTGAGAGTTGGCCACGGTGGCGGGGGTGGGGGGTGGGGGACCTAAGCTGAGCTAAGGAGAAGAGGAGTCTGCGGTAGAACTGTGGTTCGGGGATGTGGGTTTTGTGGCTCAACTCAATGGTGGGGTCGGAAACCAGGATCAGGGCTGATAGTCAAGATAGAATTTACGTGTCCAGGAAGGTTTAGGGGACCTGAAGAGTGGAGAGGGCCCAAGAAATATCGAGGAGGGGAAGAGGCTGGTGGTCGGAACTCTAGGATGCCGGCGCGACCCCCTCAAGCGTCAGTGATTGGATGCTCCTTAAGTCCCGCCTTCCAGGACCCCCAACTCCCCAGGCCCCGCCCACAGCTCCCGGCGCGCGCCTGGGGAGCGGGGAGGGGGACCAGGCTGTAGAAGGGAGGGAAGAGGAGAGGCTCGTGCACGCGCCCCACTCGCTGCGAGTGCACGAGCAGCGCGCTCCCGCCGCCCGCGTCGCCATCTTTTTTCCCCCTCCGTCTGTCTGTCTGTTGTTGGCTTTGTCCGTCTGCAGCGCCGCCCCTCTGATCCCCGCCACTGGCTCGGCCTGGAGCCGCCCTCCGCCCGCCAGGGTCCAAGTCCCGGAGAGCCCCGGTCCGGCTGGCCAAAGCTGCGGCCCGGGGCCCATTGTCCGGCGGTCCGTCTGTCTGGAGGCGGGGCCCAGGGACCCGGAGCGCAGCGGAGCCGAGGCGCCGGGTAAAAAGACCCCGAGGCCTTCCTCCGGGGCCAGGCAGTGGATGTGGGGTTCCTAGACCCACTCTGGGTCGCAGGCTGTCGGTCCTTTTGTCCGTCTGTGTCTGGGGAGGAGGCCAGGGGCTAGCTCCGGCCTGGGGGCGGGAGCAGCCGAGGCTCAGCCCCCTTCCCCGCTCCCCACCACGGCGGGTCCTTTTTGTCCGGCGGTCTCGGCGCGAGGGGGAGGCGTTCGTGCCCGCGCCCTCCCCGCGTGGGCCTCGTTGCGCTCCGGCCGAGCACCGCGGGGACGGCCGGGGCGTCTGACAGGCTGGGCTGGAGCTGGGGGAGGGGAGGATGGGCGTGGGAGTGCAGACCGGGGGTATCAGTCCCCGAGTCTTAGGCTCAGGCTTGCAGAAAAGCTTCTAAATTTAGATTTCAGAGAAGACCGTGTTGTCTAAGGGTTTGTCTGAACCGCCTCGGAAGACCTCTGGGTCTTGCCTGGGAATTCCTGGGAATTTACCTGGGCTCGTGCTTGGAGAAGCCGAAGGAACATCTCGGCTGATTACACACAGACCCACTGGGGGCCGAGGCGGCGCGGGGAGGGCGGTGGGGGGGAAACCAGGTGAACAGCCAGGCGGCTAAGTGACTAGCTTTCTTGTCCTCTCATTTTTAGCAGATACAAATCACTTGGATTCAGGCGAGTTTACTTTGCTCCGTGGGAACTGCACCAGCGCTGGAGGTGGGAACGCACCCTCTTTTCTTAAAGCTGGGATTTCACCCGTTTTTTTCTTGCTAAAGTCTGTGGTGTGCTCTGGAAGCTGCAACCTAACACCTGTGGGAGAGCAGAGATGCTGTTCAGGGGAGACATTGCACTCTCCCGAGGGCTCTTAACCTTTAGGCGGACAGAGCTCCCTTCCTTTTTTAACAGAATCCCTTTAAACTAGAATCTCCTTATCCCATTTCTCTTTGGGATGATGATATTTAGGCAGCTATCCATTTACATGTTTAGTTTCGTTTCCAATTTGGGGTTGGAAACTGAGGCAGTGTTAAAAGAAAAATGGAATGAGTGACCTTCAGGGCGAGCATGTCTATGGGTTTTCTTAGCTTTTATCAGCTGTAAGATAGTCGTGGAGCCTCAGAGATCTTGCTTTGTGGTCAAGAGCGTCCTTTCAGTGCTATTTATTTATTTATTTTCAAGAGGCCAAGACCCTCTAGGCCTTTATTGTGGGTGTTTTTTTGTTACTGTTGTTTTGTTTTGAGGGAGGGGAGGATCTTTGCTTATTTTTCCCTTGATCCCTCAGGTGTGAAGTCCTATTGGGTACCATCTGGTCAGTTCCCCATTTGTCCACTAGGAGGATTAGGAGGCGCAGTGGACACTGCGATTTTAATACGTCCATGCTCATCTCTGTCTTCCGACTTGTGGCTGTAGTATTGAAAAGTTGCCTCACCGAGATGATTTGAATAGACTCTGACTCAAATTATTTAGCCTTATTTCAGAACGGACTTTGTTACCTTTATGTCACAGTTTCAATTTCTGATCTTGATGGGAGAAAATGTGAAGATTAGTCAAGATTCTATTTTTTATAAACTAGAGAGATGTATTTTAGAAAAATCAATATACAACCTACATTTCATTCAACTTTCTACTTTGTAATTCCACAGGCATATAAAAAGAGACCTAAAGTGTGATATTTGTTCATTGTTTCCATTAATAAAATAACTACTTGAGGCGGGTGCCTGTGCCTCAAAGGAGTAAGTCATGGGCCTCATATGCCGGAGATGGCAGATTCAAACCCAGCCCCGGCCAAAAAATGTAAAAAAAATAAATAAAATAACTACTTGATTAGAAAGAAATGATATACACTAAAGAAAACTTAGATCAGAGAACACCTTAGCACTAAGTATATTGTCCTCTAAATAGTTAAAAAAATTATTGTATACACTTGGAGTTTTTGTTTGTTTGTAATTAAAGGTCTAAAAAAGAACTGTGTTTGATATGCAGATATGATAGAAGACTGCCTGAAAGCTGCTTCCTTTGCCACTTCCTGTGGAGGCCTGTCTTTGCCATTTGCGGTTTCTTTCTTCTTTTGGTAAGGGGAGGCAGGGTCTGATTACAGGTTTGAGGTCTTTCCTAGCTACATAGAGGAGTTAGTTAGGATAGCAGGAGGCGAGTCTTTAACTGGAGTGCAGAGTACAGCTAGTAATAGCCTGTCATAACTCCTCTTAAGGTTATAAACTACACTTATATTTTCTTATTCACTGTGAATACAATTTTGAGAAGATAAGAACTGAAAGAAAACTTAGAGGGTGACCAGATCCATCACATTCCTGTCTTTGGTGGGAAAGAGAATCCATCTGTTTTTATTCCATATCTGTTTATTTACTCTATCTTTCAAAAAAGTGTTATAGCTTCTACTACGAATCCAGTTCAGATCCTTTAACAATACTTATGACTGAGACACTCTTTCTTGTAGTTAACCAGTAATCTCCAGGCTTAAGTATCTGTCCCCTCCTCTGTGGGAAGGGGGAAAAAATGCATGTCTCTGCAGCACTTGTCCTTTGGGGAGCTTTTCTCTTTGTTCTCCCACTGGTCTCTTTGCTGTACAGAGGGTGAACTAAGAAGAGGCTATAATGTTATTAACTCTGACCACCTCTCTGGAACACGTGAGCAGGGCCAGGCTGGTGTTCCACACTGTGGTGTTGCATTAGTACTCAGTAATGTTGATGGCATCTAGCTCTTCTTGTGAGAGCTCATCTTCAACGTTATAGGTTTGATTTGATTTAGGGCCCTGTCATCCACTCTATGTCTGCATCACTAGATAAAGGTCTTTATTTCCCATGCTGTTTTCATTATAGATGCCTTAGACTTTTGAGACATTTCCTGTCTCATAGGGATGTGATATCTTTGTTACCTCTGGGCAAGATAACTTCTTGAACACCAAATGGAGGCTCCCATTGACGCAGACTACAGGGCTTGACTTCAGTGAGCATGTGATATGAGCCACTATCCTCCTTGGCTTCCTTTTATAGTTCATGGGATTATCCTTTTGAGCCCACAGTACTTCTAACCCTGGTTGCCTGAATTTTGCTTTCTTTTCTACCTTGTGATCTTGATCATCATCACTTAGCAGTATTCTGGATTCCAAAGATAGATTTAGAGTGTAATTCTCTAAACCCTCTGAGAGAGTTCCCTCTTATTCTTCTCGGGACCTTTACATTGTGCTAGAGATTAATTCATTTCTTTCTTTCTTAACATTAGTTCCATTATTTATAACTGGTCAGTATTATATGCTCAGGGGCTTTTTAAGTCTTTTTATCTTTTAATTTTGTATATTTTCTAGGGAAAATGACATGTGCTAACCATATCCTTTTTTTAATTGTAGGTTAGCACCGTGCAAGGAGATAGTAACATATCCAGTCGTGAAACTGGGAAAGGCCAGAACTCTCAGATCCGGGAAACATGTCCCGTCGGAAACAAACAAATCCAAACAAAGTTCACTGTGAGTATTGGGCTTTGTCTTCTGGAAGCTGGGAATGTTGGGGGCTGGAATGGAAGAGTCATCTGAATTTAGGATGAGAGACTTACACTAATTTATGGGAAGAAAGGGTTATTGGTGTCAGATATGATGAATTTAAAGTATATCTGGTGTGGGTACAGGGAGGCCAAGGTGGGAGGATCATTTGAGCCCACAAGTTCAAGGTGAGCCTGGGTAACATGAGACCCTGTATCTATTAAAGATAGAAAAATTAGCCATATGTAGCGGTGCATACCTGTAGTCCCAGCTACGTGGAGGCTGAACCAGAAGGATCATTTGAGGTTGTAGTGAGCTGTGATTGTGCCACTGTGCTCTAGCCTGGGCAGAAGAGCAAAACTAAGACTTTGTCTCAAAAAAATAAAGTGTGTCTGGTTCCAGGAGGAAGTATTAGAAACCTGTCTTAGCAGTGTGTGTGCTTTATTTATCCTTAACATTAATATTAACAGAGGATACCTCCTCTGTGCAAATCCTTGTGCTATAAGACATAAGGCTGTCAAGTCTGTGAAATAATATAAGATACATGAGACTATAATGTAGCTATATACACACACGCCACTACAAAAGTTTTGAGACAGACTGTTTTATGGTCCATTATTTCACTTCCAAGAAACCCAGTTGATGGCATCCTTTCTGATTCATCTGTGCAAGGTTCAACTTGCTCAGCTTATTGGTGTTGCTAGGAGGGCTTCATTTATTTCTGTTGGCACAGATTTTACATTTCTTGATTTTTGTGTATCTCAAAACTTTCGTAATGACTCATACATATATGCACACACATTTACATAAGATAGTGTATGGTAAATGCCAAATAGGGATGCTGTAGACTATGTGTAATATAGAAGTTAAGAGGAGGGGAATTAAGAGAGCTCCACGGGCTGAGGTAAGGGAAAGTGATATGAGCAAAGATACAAGAGGGAATCCACATGTGGTCAGAGGATGAGGAGCCTTTGTAGGAAGCAGAAATTTCATTTTTCCAGAATTCATAGTTAGAGGTGTTTAACTACATTGTAGAAAGAAGCCTCAATGCAGGCCAAGTTTGAAAGGGAATTACTGAAGATTTGTAAGCAGAGAGAATGCAGTAATATTTAGAATCCAGTATTTTGATACTGTGTAGCAGTGTGTGGGATGGATCACAATGAGGGAGAGACTAGAAATCAGAAGACCAGGTATGCACTATTGCCTTACGTTGTTTCTGCATACTTTCATATGTGTCAGTAGCACCTCCATAGTTGACCACCTCCCTACATTGACCATCTACTTTAAGTCGACCTAATTCTCATAGACCAGACATATACCACATGTATGTACCAGTAGGCCTAGTTCCTTATGTTGACCCCCGCCCTATGTTGACCAGTTTGTTACAGTGCCTTAGGTGGTCAACTTACCGAAGTTTCTACTGTATTTTATTTTAGTAATTACATTGTAGGGTTGGGCATGGTAGATCACACCTATCCTCCAGCACCTTGGGAGTCAGGGCAGGAAGATTGTTTGAGACCAGGAGTTCAAGACCAGCCTGGGCAATATAGCAAGACCCTGATTCTACAAAAGTTTAAAACTTAGCCAGGCATAGTATACACCTATAGTCCTAGAAGGCTGAGGTGGGAGGATCACTTGAGCTCAGGAGTTGGAGGTTTCAGGGAGCTATGATTGGGCCATTATACTCCAGTATGGGAGGCGATAGGACCTTATAAAAAATTATAATAATTACATTATAAACTTCTATAGGCCAGAGACTGTATGCCATATATATTTCCTTATCCCTCTCTACTTCAAGCACTGCTTATAGAGGGTGTTCAAAAAGTGGTTTCTCAAATTAACATTAGTATCTATACAGATTCAAGATAATTGGGCATTTTCCTACCATCTGGAGAAATAAGCATTCTCCCCCAAATGTTCATAAAAAACAGCTCCCTATTATTATGGAGGACTGATTGAGTAAAGTGCAACATACGAAGAGAATTCAGAGGTATAACATAAAGATTTTTTAAAGCAAAAACCTATATTTGAGAGTATAATTAGTCAAGGAGTGAAGACAAGAAAATTAAAATTCATTGAAACATAACATATGGGCTCGGCACCTGTGGCTCAAGCAGCTAAGGCGCCAGCCACATACACCTAAGGTGGTGGGTTCGAATCCCCAGCCCGGGCCCGCCAAACAACAATGATGGCTGCAACTAAAAAATGTCCAGGCGTTGTGGCAGGCGCCTGTGGTCCCAGCTACTTGGGAGGCTGAGGCAGGAGACTCGCTTGAGCCCAGAAGTTGGAGGTTGCTGTGAGCATGATGCCATGGCACTCTACCCAGGGGGACAGCTTGAGGCTCTGTCTCAAAGAAAAAAAGAAAGAAAGAAAGAAAGAAACATAACATATGCTAGGCACTACATACTTTATCTTATTAGGTAATTTCAAGAGTAGGAGAGAAAATAGGATGAACAGCATTTAAGAAGGTTTTGACATCTTATAGATTAAGAAGTTAGAATCGGAAACCTCCAAATATAATGTATTCTTCTATTTAAGTTCTGGAAAGGTTTGGTAAGAAGGATCCAGTTGGGTGCTTCTAGGAGTATATTCTGGAATAGGTGGATAAGCAGGGCTACTTAAAAAGTGAATGGTTTAGAAAGGATTTAGAAATTGCTGCTGAAACAGTAAAATGCAGTGGGCCTGAAGTGAGGATTGTCAAGAGAGAGAGAATGAAGCATCTCTAGCTTAGGTCTTCCAGCACAGGAGTTCAAGAGGATTTTTTTTTCCTCTTTGGTTGAAGGTGAGTATTGATAAAAGATACAAATGTGACCCTAAGAAGGCAGGGCAGGAAAAGCACTCTTAGTAGAGATGATGGGTTCACAAATAAGGCAGTTATAAATGAGTGTTCACTTCTAAAAGCCAACTGTCCAATGAGATTGATTAGATTTGAGGAAAGTAGCTATTGGGGTGATGGCATCGTTGTAATCAAGCCAGTAAAGGCTTGTGTGGCCTAGGCCTGCTGCTCATGTGGTATATGTCCAGCAGATGCATCTCCTTCCACCATAGTCAGTCCGAGGTAAGATGAGCAGGTACTGGAGGTAGAAAACAGATGGACAAATAGGCTATGGAGCTAGGGAGAATATGACACATCCCAAGTTGCAGAAATGCAGTTAATAGCACCAAGAGGGTGAACACTGTATTGTGGTAGAGTGGGTGGGACTTTGCAGGCTCTTTAGTGGTGGCCACTGAGAGGGCCTTTACTTGGGAGCTGTGAGTACAAACATTCAGCTATAACTAAGTAGCAGCACACCAGGGAGGAGCTGTTTTCAGTGATGCGTTTGGGCAGAGAAGGTGAGTGGTGAAGGTTTCTCAAGTGATGGACTAAGCTTGACCAATGAAGAAAAGACACTGAGATTTTCTGGTTTCCAAGGAGCTTCTATTTATTATTTGGGGACTGAAGCTGACCCTACCCTTTGGCAAGTAGAAATGCATAATTTTAGTTTTCTAACTGCTTGAGTCTCCTGTCACCTTGCAGTGAAATGGAACCAAGCAAATGTATCGGATTTAATGCTGCTTGTCTATTTAAAGTAAATGGAATGGACTCAAGGTCTGGGAGGCAGGAAAGTCTGCAGAAGCTTTACTTAAATGTCAAAACCAATGAACACTTGAGCAGAGTAATGGCTGAGCTTCACTAGATCTGCTTTCTGGGAAGATTGTGTGCCATGAAACTAAAAGCCTGCCTAAAAGGATGTGCTAAGAACCGCACTGCTGTAGCCCCGCAGTGGTTGTCAGGTCTGCTTTAGAAGCCAGTGGGCAGGCTGCCTTGGCAATTACTTGGTTTTCCTCAGGACTTTTTTTATATCTAAATATTGGTGTGATCCTTTTGTCAGAAACATCTAGACAGACCCTTGTATTTTGCCCACTTCACTTCATTAATAGACTTGGAATAAAAGCCCAGAATTGTTAGTCATAGAGAAACTGCTGATGGGCTGAAATTTCTATTTTTGATCTTTTCCCCTACTTCCTTCCCCATCTCAGCCTCTTCTGACTACAAATTTCTGTCAACTGTTTGTAGAGAGGTTGAAAATACAGTCCCTTGCATACTTTCATCTGACTGTGTTTGAACCAAGCAAACCACTAAGAAAAGGAAAAATCTTTTTCTTTAGAGACTTGTTTTCAGATTGCCTTGCTAAATACATGCGTGACTAAAAATCTTCAACTAAAATCTTTCAAAGAGGAGGAATAAGCATCTTTAAAGTCTTGTTTTGTCTTCATTCATTCTCTTGAGATCCTTGTGAGGTAAATGGCTATATTCCCGACATGTGATAGCACCTTGCGTTACAAAGACTGTCAGCTAGAAATAGAATCCTAAGCTTCTCACTCCCAGTGCTACTCATTTTTTCTGAATTCAACACCTGCTCTCTTAGAGCGTATGTTTCTGCTGCTTTACTTAATTGCATTCAGCTTGAAATTGCATTTATTTAACTGCACCAAGGACCAAGAAAGAGAATTGTAAAATCTTTGCTTTTCTAATAACTTTCATCTTAGTCTTCTCAACCGTTCTTTAAACTTGCTTGCATGGCCTTGTTCTTATTTAATCTGAAAACTTTAGCCAAGTCAAACAATAGTATTTTAATGATCCAGGACCAAAAGAAGGAGACTGAGCACCTTCCTTTTTAATGTGGAGCCAAGATGATTCTTTCACAACTGTTAATAGACAAATACCCATATTAAATAAGAGAGCTGTCCTATGTTAATATTTAGGGACCAGAGGATTTGTTTTAACTTACCTCCAACAGGCTCAAGATAGAAGGAAATATAATTCTACGTTAATTCTACAACTTCTTACTCATTAGTATCTTCTATGGCTCACATTATACTTGAGTTAACATGACATACTTTTAGCAGGGCTCACTGCCTTATTATGAAAGGATAATTCTGGACAATTGGATTTGGAGATTAGGTAAATAGTGACTCCTAGAGGATCATTCACATGTCTTTTCTTAGGAGGTCTGCCAAAATCACTTCTTTTTTATGGTTTTTATGTATGTATTATGCTTTATGATGATATTTAAAGTAGGAATACACCCAAGGAATAAACTTTTTTTTTTTTTTTTTTTTTTTTGAGACAGAGCCTCAAGCTGTCCCCCTGGGTAGAGTGCCGTGGCATTACAGCTCACAGCAACCTCCAACTCCTGGGCTCAAGCGAGTCTCTTGCCTCCGCCTCCCAAGTAACTGGGACCACAGGCGCCCGCCACAACGCCCGGCTATTTTTTGGTTGCAGCCGTCATTGTTGTTTTGGCGGGTCCGGGCTGGGGATTTGAACCCGCCACCTTAGGTGTACGTGGCTGGCGCCTTAGCCGGTTGAGCTATAGGCGCCGAGCCAGGAATAAACTTTTAACATTAGCCTTTTTCCCAAGTCAGGAATAGAATAAAATGTAAGAACATAGCTAGGCTGGGTACAGTGGCTCATGCCTGTAATCCAGCACTCTGGGAGGCTAGATGGGTGGATTGCCTGGGCTCAGGGGTTCAAGACCAGCCTGAGCAAGTAGCTCATAATGTGGTACCCGAACTGTCATTTTTGTTTTTATCACATACAGGCCTCTAGAACATTATTTTGCTAACTCAGTTATATGTATCATCTCCAAAAATAGCCAAGTGTTGTGGCAGGTGCCTGTAATCCCAACTACTTGAGAGGCTGAGGCAAGAGAATCACTTTGAGTCCAAGAGTTTGAGGTTGCTGTGAGCTATGACGCACGACGCTTTACCCAGGGCAACAAAGTGAGACTCTGTCTCAAAACCAAACAAAAACATACACCTTTTCTTCCCAAATGCCAAAATGGAATAACAGAGTTAATTTATCCCAATTATCCTAGGTGAGATTGCCAACAAGAGTCGTAGAGAGGGAAATCACTTTGAACAGACTCCTCTGTTCTTTGAAGGCCTAAATATGTAGACAACATCAATAGACAAAAATAAATTTTGACCTCAAGTTGATGGAAACTAAACTGAATTACTGGCTCATCTTAAAATGTTTTTCTAATCCAATGATGATGCCCTGTTATGAAAGGGGGAAATTTTGTTTATTCTTAGTATATCATAAACTTAGCTAGATTCTGGGTAGGTTTCTTTAGAGACCAGAAGTGTCACTGATGAGACTGGTCTGCTCCTTGATAATTACATGCCAGTGCATAACTTGTTCCTTAGTGTCATGTCTGCCTATCTTCTTAGGTATGAAAACATGTGCCTGCCCAGAAGAATTCAGTAGTATTACAGCTGCCATGGTCTTGTGGCCGCAGTGTAATAACTAACATGGAAAAATCAAATATTTTATTTCTGCAAAAAGGGAAGAGGAAGCATTCTAGCACAGAATTCATTTTTTGCTTTCTCTTGCAGTAATTTATATCCAATGTATCATCTTAGATATTTTGAAAATGGACTTAAAGTAGTTTATTTTTCCTTTTCTTGATGCCTGTGTAGCTAGGAGTACACTTTAACACGAACCACCTCCATTCCCACCCACAGTATGAGTCATAATAGGCATAATGTTGGTTACTGTAATCCAGGCATGGTAGCTCATAATGTGGTACCCAAACTGTCATTTTTCTTTTTATCATGTACTGGCCCCTAGAACATTATTTTGCTGTCTGAGTTATATGTATCAGTTTCTCATGGTAGAACATTATTACCCAGAGATCAGCCTTTGTTTTCAGCAAAACCACTCTGATGAACCTTCTACTTACATCTTAAATTATACAGTTTAAAAATATGGGTACCAGAGTTGGACAGACCTGGGCTTGAATACTTAATTCCACCATTGACCTTAGTTTTCTCCACAGTAAAATGTAGGTAGTAGTACATGTACCTAACACATAGAGTTTTGCAGAGAATCAAGATAACAACTGTAAATCATTCCACATCGAGCCTGGAACTCAGGTCAAATAGTAACTCTTACTAGTGTTTGGTACTTAGCACATAGTAAATGATTAGTGAATATTTGCTGAACATGACTGGGTTAATCACATGAAGGCTGCTCCATGTCAGACTCGTAGTGCAGGGCAACTTCCCAGTCCATTCCTCCCACATCTTCGCGTCCTGTCTCAGAACCTGAGCCTGCTTCCTTTCCTTCTGTAAGAAATGGCATGGTCTATTGTAAGACGTTTACTTTAGGGCTTTTTATCATTCCCTCTTGGTGGGGTGAGTGGGGACTACAGTTTCTACTCTGAGATAATAGAAACCTTGGGAAACCCAACTCTTTTCTTATGCCTGGTCTCCTAGAAATAAAAGAACACTTACGTGTTAACTCTTCAACAACCACATAGATTCCAGGCAGAGTTCATCAGAAGTAAATGCAAAATCCAGGATGGGTCTAGGGCTTTGGATTCTTAATACGAGAAGAAAAAAAAAAAAAAGACCACATCAGACCAGGGAGACTAGGTAAATATTATTTGTTGTAAATTAGTGTGTTTCAGGAAGGTGGTTCTTCAGCAGAAAATGAATTCATATATTACCTGTTCTTTGAATCCATTATTCAACCAGTTGTTGAATTACACATTGCTAGTTCTGACACACATGAGAAAGAAAAGAAAGTCAAGGAAGAAGTTCCAGAGCATGTCTTAGAAGGAGAGTGGATGAAAGGTGAGATGAGATTAGAAAGATTGCTATTTAGAAGGATTCTGTGAGGTGCTGAGGTAGACACTGATTTAGGACCATGATGCTGTATGTTAAGGGACAGAGATTTTGCTCATATTTGTTGCCCTATCTTTATCCCATCACTTTGCCTCTTCTTGCTTTTATCTCCGCAATTCTCATGGAAGGTTATAAATGGAATTGAGATTCTGCAGTTAATTTTGTGAAGTAGCAGTTGATCACCTTTTGAAAGAAGTCAAGACTAGGAGGATTTAAGAGAGACAAGCGATGTTTTCTAGAGCTTCTGGCTTACTGCCCAGGAAGCTCAGCTACGCCCAGAAGCTGTTGGAGGCAGCAAGCTGATTTGGAGATGAATGACCCCACCACAGGGTACCTGCCTGTCTCCTACATTTTTTTATTTTTTTTTTGAATGGTCTAACCTTCCAACAAGCTTGCCTGGGGATATGCTGCTCAGCTGGTGGCCTGACTATTTTTCCTTGTGACCACCAGGGGATCAAGTATTTGCTGGGCTAGAAGAGCAAGCCCGCCAGGCGATGATGAAAACTGATTTCCCTGGAGAACTTGGCAGTCAGCGACAAGCTATCCAACAACTAAGAGATCAGGACTCCAGTAGCAGTGAGTTCTGCACCTTCTGGTAATGACTCAGGGCAATGGGAGAAGAATTATTAGCGCGTGTGTGCTCTGGGGATTGTGCATGGGGGTTGGGAGGAAGACTTAAAAAAAGGAGATGTGTGGATCCTTAGTGTTCCCAGAGGTGTACTAAAGTATGTGGGCATATGTTTACCTAGAGAGAGGACAGATGTGGCATTGTGCTTTTTAATTCATGGACTATAGTACTTGGCACAGTGCCATAAGCAGATAGGTTTGTTGGTTGTAACAGGAGCATAGAAAAAATTAATGCTCAAGCAGCCCCTGTGTCAGGTCAAATGAAAAGAAAAAAATTCTGTCTCCTAGGATCTGTTTATTTGTAATTAATAAAACATAAGGGTGATATTAATGAATTCTTGCTTGAGAGACTAGTTTTAATGTTACATAAGACGATTCATAGCTGGGCTTTGTGGCAGGCACCTGTGACCCCAGCTACTTGGGAGGCTGAGGCAAGAGAATTGCCTAAGCCCAGGAATTAGGGATTGCTGTGAGCTGTGATGCCACGGCACTCTACTGAGGATGATAAAGTGAAACTCTGTCTCTAAAAGAATAAAAATTTAAAAAAAAGATGATTCACTTAGTGTTGAGATTATATAGCATATAAAATGCCAGAGTCAGGGTCTTCTCATACAGTACCCTAAGTAGACCCCTGTACTTAAAAGACAGAAAAGACAGTGGCTGTTACAAGGTGAGCCTCATGAATTATCTCGCTCAAGACCTACCTGAATAAACATGTTTCAAGGTATGTTATTTCCTAGGAAGATTTCTATACTTTCCTGATGTCATCCATTTGATACTGGGTAGTATTGATGTCACTTCAAAGTGACATTTCTGATTTTTCTTCACATTTGAGACTGGGTAAGAACAAAGAGGGAAAGGGTTCTGCAACCATGTAGGAACTTGTTTCTACCCAAACTAATAATTAAGGAACATCAACAACAAAAAATAATTTGGCAACTAATTGGTCAGGTACAGAAAAATGGTCCCCAAAGTACTAGAAAACCTATAGAAGCCACCAGTTTCTTGAGTAACAAGTAGGAATAGTAACATCTACAAAAGTCTAATAGGTTTACATTCTAGAAAAAAATGCTCTCTCTCTCTAGACACAGCACACTTATTTTTAAAAATACTTCTAGTAGAGATATTCAGACTGCTGATAAATTACAAAAATGTGTTCAATACACCATTGTATTAGATTAAGCTTATAAGTATTTCAAATAAGAACCTGATGAGAAAAGGTGTTTTAAAAAAAAAAAGAGAAAAGGTGGTGTGACCCAATCTGTGCCAACCTTTCATTATTGACATAGACTCTAATAACTCAAATGGAAGTAAGTTCTGAGCTAGGGAATAAGGTATAAATTTAGTCCAAGGTCCCAATCCAGTTCACCAACCATCTGGAATATTTAATACAGACACATGTAACAACTAGCAAACGATTTGGTTAGACTTTCTCATGAAGAAAACAGTTTTGCCCGGTAATAAAGGAAACATAATGGATATTGCCCCCATACGAGTGGGTTTAGAAATTATACAAGGGATGGTAGAGAGAAGATAAGCAGCACTGTTATCTAGGAAATCGTAGTCTTGACTGGATAGTCTAGTAACATTCTACCCTGTATTTCTTTCTTGCTCACATCAGACCCAGAAGTCCAGGGTCTCAGTGGGGTTGGGATAGGGCTAGAGCCTGACAGCCTCCCTAGGTTTGGCTTCCTCTTGTGATCTTTAAGGTGCTAGCACTTATTTTTTCCTTTCAGGAAGAACTCCCCTTGTTACTTTTTAAAACTTTTCCATCCTATTTTATAAGTAATAGAGAAGAAAAAGCAGTGTATACAAACCTTACAGATTCCCTAGCCTTCAGCAGACCTCCCCACAGCCCCAACCTGCCACAAAATTAAAATATACTCAATTCTTAACTTTAGTCACAGGAATTTACAGCTCATCCTAAGGTGAAGAATGGCCAGTTCCTTCTACTTAAGGCATTCAGTTACCCATCAGTTAATTCAAAGAAGCTACAGAAACAGTGGACTGACTTAGCTTAGAATGCTGTTACTAGCAGAGTAGGAGATGAAACAGAGTCCAACGCCTCTGAAAACTGCCTGAGGTTGGTTGCTTGCTAATTTTTCCACTGTGATGAACAGCTCTTTCCCTGTAAAGTGACATCATTTTTAACTAATTTACCATTACCTCTTTTACTGATAAGAGGGATGAAAAACTTGCTAGTGTGCCTGTAAGTGTGCCTTAGGGTTTGTTGGGACAGATACATTAGTTGGGCTTAGAGTAGAGTAGTAGAGTGACACCATGGAAAAATTATGAGGGGGAAGAAGTCAGTGATAAAATCAGAAGTGCTGGTAAGTTGGAGGTGTTGAGCTATGAGAATGAGCTCTGTGTGAGGTGTTTGGGGAGGTGTGATGTGAAGTGTGAGATACTTGAGAACCATGCATAAGAAGGATTATTTGTATGATAATGTAGAGGGCCCAGTAACCATGTTCCAGTGCAGTTTTGCCTCACATTTTCTCTTTAGTGTGTATATGGTGTAATAAATAACAGCTATAGCTGATTTGCACTTGACTCAGATTTGTACCCAACTAAGCAGTGTTATAAACTGTGTTACAGGAGATCTGAAAATGTTTTTCTATTATAGCTGCAAATTCTAGGATGGGTAACAGCTCAGGACGTATTCATGCCCAAATCAGAACAAGTGACCCGTTTGTGTGTTTCAGGTGACAGTGAGGGTGATGAAGAGGAGACCACACAGGATGAAGTCTCTTCCCACACGTCAGAGGAAGATGGAGGAGTGATCAAAGTGGAAAAAGAGTTAGAAAGCACAGAGCAGTCTGTTGGTGGGAACGAAGTGGTAGAACACAAGGCAAGTGACAGATGGCTCCTGAGTCTGGAAACACCGTGCCCTGATACTGCTCACCCTGTGAATGGTATTACCTCTGACAATCTCCTGGTCCTGCTCACAAGGGCTCTTCCTTTGCAGCAGTGGGACCTATACCTCTCACACATGGTTCTCATCACACCAGCTTTCCTTTTCCACCCACATATCACTACACACACGCATCCTCCTAATGATCCCCATTCCCTTCCAGGCAGAATAGCCACCTTCGGGAAATGGAAGGCTTACTCCCCATGGAGCACTCTTGAATATGCTTACAAATTTAAGTCAAAGTGTTGACTCTTACTAAATTGTTTCCTGAGAATTCCTGCAGAAAGCATGACAGGAGGGGGTGGCACCCATAGCTTAGTGGTTAAGAGTGCCAGCCCCACATACCAGGGGTGGCGGGTTCAAACCCAGCCTGGGCCTGCTAAACTAAAATTAAAAAAAAAAAAATAGTGGGCAGTGCCTGTGGCTCAGTGGGTAGGGCACCAGCACCATATACCGAGGGTGGCAGGTGCCTGTAGTCCCAGCTACTCGGGAGGCTGAGGCAAGAGAATCACCTAAGCCCAGGAGTTGGAGGTTGCTGTGAGCTGTGTGATGCCACAGCACTCTGCCCACTCTACCGAGGGCAATAAAGTCTGTCTCTACAAAAATTTAAAAAAAAAAAAAGGAATAGCTAGGTATTGTGGCAAGTACCTATCATCCCAGCTACTTGGGAGGCTGAGATAAGAGAACTCTTGAGCCCAAGAATTTGAGGTTGCTGTGAGCTGTGACGCCATGACACTCGATGAGGGTGACAAAATGAGACTATCTCAAAAAAAAAAGAGCATGACAAGAGGGAAGCTAATCCTTTCTCTGCAGAGTTTATCTTAAGGAAAAAAACACATCATCTCTCTCTGGGGCAGTTCTGTATCCTGGCTGGAAGCCTTGGAAAAAAGGAAGATGGGAACAAATTTAATTCCCTTTCAACTATTTGTCCTTTGGCCCACAATGAGAAGCTAATAGTGTGACATGTGACATCAGATTGGGTTCCTTTTAACAGGATACCCTGTTTAATATCCTGGGAGGGCAATGAAGAGACTAATAAGAGTCCTAATGAGCTGTCTGTTGAATTACAGGTCACAGAGAATTTAAATTCTGACCCCTTGCTTGAACTCTGCCAGTGTCCTCTTTGCCAGCTGGACTGTGGGAGTCGCGAGCAGCTGATTGCTCATGTGTACCAGGTATGGTTTGGGGAGCTAAGTGCTCGTCTGACCACTGGCAGCTTGTTCATAGCCCAGATCCTGCCTTGGCCTTAACCTCGGCCTTGGCCTCAGCCTTGGCCTCTCCGCTCCTGAAGGAATCTTGGATTGTTGCTTCCAAGATTACACTCCAGTCCTCTAATTTTCAAGAATAAGTGAAAGACATGGGATAAATGTATCGTGGGTTCCCAAGCTAATACACAGTGAAAATTAAGTATTTTTTCCTATGTTATTAATACCTATTTTAAACAGTGAAATAGAAACTAACATCTATTAATAATGAGGGTTTGTTTTAAAGAAAAAATGAGTTAAATTCATTAACCTAATGTTTCTGAAATACCAATGAAAGTTACGATAAGCAAGCGGATCAGAATCAGACTTCTTGTGTTCTTGGTCCAATCACAGAGCACCTGTGCCTCATCATCTTCTTGCACACATAGCAGTCTGGATTGTACCATAAAGATACTTGGTTCATGAGAAGAAATATTTCTTTGGAAGACTGTCTTTAAAAGATTGAGGATAGGACAGGAGCAGTGGCTCACACCTCTAATCCTAGCACTCTGGGAGGCCAAGGTGGCTGGATTGCTTGAGTTTAGGAGTTCAAAACCCAACTGAGCAAGAGTGAGACACCTGTCTCTACTAAACATAGAAAAACTAGCCAGGCATTATGGCGGGTTCCTGTAGTTCTAGCTACTTGAGAGGCTGAGGCAAGAAGATTGCTTGAGCCCAAGAGTTTGAGGTTGCTATAAGCTATGACACCACAGCACTCTACCCAGGGTGACAGAGTGAGACTCTGTCTCAAAAAAAAAAAAAAACCAAAAAAATTGTCTAGATTGAGGACAGGCAGAATATAAATACTTATTGTATACCAGTATTCCCAGCCAGCTTCTAGATTTGGCCTTCAGCACTCCCTTGACACGTTTTTGTACCTGCACAATGAACTAGGGAGACAGAGAGGCTCTGTCAGGCTCTGAAGAGGGCTCTGATGCCCCACTAGTCCTTAAGCCAGCCATGTGTCCCAGAATACAGTGAAAGCTGAAGCTAATGAAATCTGACCAATGGTCTGGTCTGAATGACCAGGCCCTTCTGAGGGCCCACTCACACAAGAAACTGAACTTTCCAGGGACTGAACAAAGAGAATAATTCCAAGTGCCCTGTTCTGAGACATTTTCTCAGAAAGTAGTTTCTAAGTGGGTGCAAACTGTCTTGGAAATAGTGCAAGCTTGACAGATTAAGGCTCTGTTTTACAGCACACTGCAGCAGTGGTGAGTGCCAAGAGCTACATGTGTCCCGTCTGTGGCCGGGCTCTTAGCTCCCCAGGATCACTGGGTCGCCACCTCCTAATCCACTCGGAGGACCAGCGGTCTAACTGTGCTGTATGTGGAGCCCGTTTCACCAGCCATGCCACTTTTAACAGGTTAGCCGGGCACCTACCCTTGTGCTGGGAGCAGATTACTGGGTGTGGGTTCTGCTTTTCCAAGTTAAAGTGAAGGCAAGAGATAGGTAATGCTTAGGCAACTGAGTCATGACTATTGGGAAATACAAGTAAGAGGCTGGGAAAGATGCCTTTTCCATTAGATAACCCCAAAGTAAAATGAATTCACCTTTCTTTTCCAATCAGAATAATATTTTAAATTAGAAAGAGATGTAGGGAAGCCAAGAACATACATGATAAAGCATGAGAAAGAAGTTACAGGGTTCTGAGAGGACCGTGGCATGAGGACATAGTCTTCACCGACTCCTAGTTAGACTGGGACTGTGTGAACATTGTGTCCTCATCCCGTTTGTGCAGAGTTGCCTTTGCATTGCAGGCAGTGCCAGGAGAGGAGGAGGTGAGTCAGTGATCTGTACCTCGACCAGAGGTGGTCTCCACCTCCAGAAGCCTGGCCTCCCACAGCAGGACTGCCCTGCAGAGCTTTCCCAAACACCATTCCAGCTTGAGTGACAGCTTCACATTGTAAGGGCTCCTCTGATTCCTTGGTGCATTGTGGCTGCTGGCTCAGTCATTAACTCCAGGTGGGCTGTAGGAGGTGGTAGACAGCCTAGCCCAAAGAAGAGGCGGGCTGGAGAGATAGAAGAGGTCTGCCAAGCATTCAAACTGACCCCTAGTGGTGAACTTGAAGCAACAGGTCTCTCAGGAAGAGTAAGCCAGGGCTGAATACCTGAGCCTTGCTAGAAGAAAACACTAACCATCCAAAATTTTTGCTTTCTAGCGAGAAACTTCCTGAAGTACTTAATATGGAATCCCTACCCCCAGCCCACAATGAGGGCCCCTCCAGTGCTGAGGGGAAGGACATTGCCTTTAGTCCTCCAGTGTACCCTGCTGGAATTCTGCTTGTGTGCAACAACTGTGCTGCCTACCGGAAGCTACTGGAAGCCCAGACCCCCAGTGTACGCAAATGGGCCCTACGTCGACAGAATGAGCCTTTGGAAGTACGCCTACAGCGGCTGGAACGAGAGCGCACAGCCAAGAAGAGCCGGCGGGACAATGAGACCCCTGAGGAGCGGGAGGTGAGGCGCATGAGGGACCGCGAGGCCAAGCGCTTGCAGCGTATGCAGGAGACAGATGAGCAGCGGGCACGCAGGCTGCAGCGGGATCGAGAAGCTATGAGGCTGAAGCGGGCCAATGAAACCCCAGAGAAGCGGCAGGCCAGACTCATCCGAGAGCGAGAGGCCAAGCGGCTCAAAAGGAGGCTAGAAAAAATGGACATGATGTTGCGTGCACAGTTTGGCCAGGACCCTTCTGCCATGGCGGCCTTAGCAGCAGAAATGAACTTCTTCCAGCTACCTGTAAGTGGGGTGGAGTTGGACAGCCAGCTTCTGGGCAAGATGGCCTTTGAAGAACAGAACAACAGCTCTCTGCACTGAACCACACCCTTCTGCCTGCAGCCCTACCCACCCACCCACCCACACCCACAGGGATTAGCGCTGTGGCCACCCACAAGGCCCTGTCTGCTGTCAGAGGCAGGCCTGGTGTGTTGCAGGTGGGCCTGTGTATCTCTTGCATGTGGGAAGGAACAGGATGACGTGGTCGGAGGGACCTGGCTCAAGGCAGCTCTGGACAGGGAGCAGGCACTCCAGAGAACTGAACTCCCCAGAGAAATGGACTCCCCAGTCCACTGTGGCTGGTCATGCCTTTAAGACCATGGGGCCCCAGTGTGGCCTATGAAGTTGTGAGAACAAATAAATTAATTTTATCTTTACTGGCCCTTTGCTGCTTTTCTCTCGATTTCATTTTAGCAAATGAAGTGATCTAGAAGATCACTAGGAGAGAATGGGTACAGGTGTTCAGGCAAGGACTTCTGGTGTTTGCCCTTTTCTGAGGGAGGGTGCTTAGGCTGTTCAAGCAGAGGTCCCTCATTTGGGTCTTTATAAGTTGATGAGGAATAGTTGACATTGAAGAAGAACCAATGCTGACTTTGTAAGGATCCATTCCCACAACCATCCTGAAGATAGCTGCCATCCTAAGGACTATTTTTTTTTTTTTT